AATTCTTTGGGAAACTAATTTATTTAAAAGCTACTTGAGTTATCAAATATTTACTCAATAAATAAAGCAATAAAAGTGCACTTCAATATTTTTAATCTAGTTTATTTCGCACATTTAAATTTACATTCAAGCTTCAATTGATAGCCAATTAGTATACAGTACTGTAGTGTTTGAAACCTTATACCAAAGTCTCGCCAGAAATGAATTATAAGATTTTTGTGATGAAAAGTTTAATGAAAAGTGTTATATAAGTCGATAACTCATAAGTAATAAGCCATTAAAAGTGGAATAAAAATAAAACTTAAATAAATATGTTGACTAAATTATTAGTAGAAGTACCCTCGTATTTATATTTATGAGTACATAGTATTTAATATAAATATTGAAAATACTTTTATTAACAGATAATGTGGTCAATGATTTTGAAAGTGATTTTAATATTGATTGATTGTTAATAAGGAAATCCGTATTATTTGTATTTCGTATTAAAAATTGCAAGCAATAAAAAAATAAAAAATAAATAATACACTTATTCAGTGTAAGAAATGACAAGTTATTAAATCAAGAGTTTAATGAATGAATGAGTTTTCATTTCTCTATTGATATCATTAATGTTTAACTCTTTTGACACAAAACATTGAACGGAAGTTATTATATGATTAGGTCTTACAAGTTAATTGTAGTTATTGATACAAATTAGATAAGAAATTTATTTATTTATCAATGTAACCATAAAATATAATTAAGGCATAATGAAAGATTAATCTTTCAAATCTATTGATTTTCTAATGATTGTCATTTATATAACCTTGTTACATCTTGTCGTATAAAGACAATTATTTATAGATTATAATTAAATAATAGGATTAAACTAATTTTATTATTAAATTATTATAATTAAATTTATAATCAACTGGTACAGTATTTATACGATACCTTTTGTTGTTAAATTTAATTATCTACAAAACTATTATGATATTAATTATATTTATAGTTATATAAATATTTATTTGTCATTAATTGTCTAAATAAAGCACAACATGAATGGCCAAAGTTGTGCAAAACGGGTGGCAAACAATCTCCTATTGATATCAATACAAAATCCGTGTCAATCAATACATCACTATTTATAGACATCAAGCATTATGAATTTGAATTTCACAACTTTAAAATCAATAACAATGGACACACAGGTTGCTTGTCGAAAAATAATCATTTAAGAATATTCATATAATAAATAAACACAATATATATACAATTGCAGCCCAGTTAGTACTAGACTATTCCGGGGATGAGACAAAACCTCAACCCTTCATAACAGGTCTGGCCCTCAATAATGAGGTCTATTTGATGGCTCAGTTGCACTTCCACTGGAGTGACCACAAGGGCAGGGGTTCTGAACATGCATTCAATGGTCGCACCTATTCAATGGAGGTATGCATATAAATATTATATAATTTATTTTTAAAATTTCAAAATAAAATTATTACAATTATATTTAAGAAATTGTTTTTAATGATATCTTAGATGCACATTGTTCACTTTAATAAAAAATACGATAATATAAGTGAATCGATGCACCATAAGGACGGTCTGGCAGTCATTGGTGTGATGTTTGAGGTATGAGAATATAATTTATCTCATAAAATGATAATTTTACTTACTGTATCAAAAATAACCCCATTCAATAACAAATCTATAAATAATTTAATTTTATACAGAATCTTTTGTTTAGTATCTAATAGTAAATTTTATTAAGCTATAAAAAAATATTTTCTAAATCTGTATTCGTAGCAATCGATTAAGTACTTTATTAGATGTAATATATAGGATAAGTGTCTGATTTAAATCATTTAAATGTATTGATTCAGCAGTTTTCTGAATTGGATTCAGTTATAAGATTTGAGAATATTTTATGTTTAATGACAATGTCTATATTTGGGCCTATTTTCTATTGAAATGGACACTAAATATACAATTTATATTCTACTGAAGTGTAATACTTATAGTCCACTTACGAAATAACAGTGATAAAAGTAGTTTCAAGGATTGTGGAAAACAACATTTTTTGTAAATATTGATTTGTGTTATTTAGTTATTTAGGTTTATATAGATACGAAATGTCTAAAAATATTTCTATTGCAATTGATATGTATTGGAATTTAATTAATAATTAGTGTATTAATTAACCGAAAAATTAATTCAAAAGTCTTATTCACAAATGAATTCAACCTAAAAACTACTGAACATAACAATATAAATGTATTTGTTTTATAAATAGAACTAGTTTATTTGAAGTAAATATCATAAATTTTTATTACAATTATTACATCAGAATATTCTGCAAATTTATTCATTGACTTTATTACACAATGTGTTTAACAAATGAAGCGTTTAGTCAAATCAAGTGGTTTATTGAAAAACCTGATGATAGGGACACTAATTAATTCCTCACCACAAACACCACCAATGATATAAGCATTTAGTATAATTGAAAATTTTATTTTGCTAGAAAAAACAATTAACAATTCTAATAACATAGGAATACATAAATACATAAACTTAGAAAAAAATTATTTCAATTTAATATTTATTAACATTGTTTTTATCGTGAAATATGTGACAAAAATAAATAAATAATAATTCATCCGAAAACTACACCAAAACTGACAGATCACTCGCAAAGAGAATCCACATTTGGATGCCATTATAGAGGGGGTGCGAGCCGTCAAGATAGAGGGCACCGAAGACTTTCACTCATCGCCACAATTCCGCCAAAACCCAATCCAACCGACCATTAAGTTGGAGAACCTGTTGCCCAATGACTTGACTCTATTCTTCAGGTACAAGGGCTCCCTGACCACCCCACCATGTTACGAGGCAGTCACATGGCTTGTATTTCATGACACCACTGACATTGGACTCAAA